AACCCTCCAGCGGTACTCTTAATATTGAACAGTTTTGCAAGGAGAAGGGGTAAAAATACTCTTCTCAGTTTAAGTAACTGGCTTTTGTTAAGATTATGGACTAATGGGATGTGACGCCATGTAGCTTGATACATAGATACAAGTATTTTCGAGAAACCTGCTGATCCAAAATGTTGCTACCTACCTATAAAATTACACAGTGTCACATCCCAGAAAACTGTAATCTTAACACTCTGTGACAAGAATCTCAAATCTCACTTCCTTTTAAAGATGCTTACTTCCTATCAGTTCTTTTTTTTAACACATGTATAAGTTAATAATTAACACCTTATCTTAATAATTTGGTTAATTCATGTCTGTACAGATTGTAAAATCTCTGACATGTTCTCCTTCTGATTTTTCAGTACCATGGAATGTTATTAATTTATTCCCATTTATTTATTTTGAAACGTTTCCTTCACAGCTTCTACCACCATTAGGTAGGGCACACAACTAAAAAGGGTTAAGGATTCTGCTGATGCTCTAGGAAGCCAGAAGAGTTGCATGGTCAGATTAGTTTGGGAAACATTATGAGGCAGCTAGGATATGAATGCAGTTAGGGCTAGAAATGTTATTTGGAGAACTTCCTTCCTCCACCATCTGCTAAGGGACAAAACGAAAATATTGTGACATGTTGCGCAATGGATGACCCCCCCCCCCCAGCAGTGACGTGGCGGATGAGTCAGCGCTCTGTCCCCCCCCTCCGCGGTGACGTAACACGCAATGCAGCTGTGACACGAGTAACAGCCAACAGTGGTACCGATTGTGTAACAGGCAAGCACTGCGACTATATAAGTGAACCACACTGCCTACAAAGTGGAATTGTAATGTAGCCGACGCCGAAGTTAGTTCTCAAGCCAGCAGCCTACGAGTTGAGTTGAAATATAGCAACAGTCGCGGTAAGAAGACCCGAATGCGTGGTTACAAGATTTTATGTGACAGTGTGTGATCAACAGTTCTCAAGGCAGCAGCCTACGAGTTGAGTTGGAATCTAGCCAGTGGCGAGTTACGAGTTAGTGTGTGATAATCAGTGACAGTTTGTGATAACTGAGAATTAATTGGGAGTGTGTAACACAGTGACACTTGTATAGCTCCCATACTGTGAATACGTGTAGACTACTGACAATAGAGTGATTTTATTTGCGAATTGTGAAACCCCGCGACATTGTTATAATTAATTGTAGCCGTTACTTGTAGGTTGTTGAATAAACCAATTAACAATCTCTATGGCGTTTTCAGTAACATGACACGTTCAATGTTATCACCTAGCTCACAGATTAAATGATTTTTGCAGATATGAAGTGCAAAATGAAAACGACAAAATTGTGGAGTGTCTGTCATTATGACAATGAAGAGACTTCTCTTCTTTAACAGATATTATGAATTTACACTGAAACTGTAAAAACGACACATATACTGCCAGAAGACTATGATGTAGAAGCATTCTCCAACCAAAATATAAGAAATATGATATATATATATATTTCTAGTACTATGCTGAAAGATTTGCAAGAGTGCAAATGACAAAGAGCCAAACAATGGGAAACAAACTATGCAACAGGAATGAGTGGAGCATTATAAGATTAGACTAGAAACAGCTTTGCACAAGGCAGCAAAAAGAAGAAGCACAGATGAAATGGAGAGGACCAAAGCTACAGTAGTGTACAATTATTTTGCCATAGTTCTACATGCCGGCACAGGGAGTATTGAAGATATGTCAAGACCTATTTAGCCAACTCTTTTCTATCTTTCAGCAAAAGATGACCAGACAATTCACAGCAAGTATAAAAATGGAGATCAAAGCTGTGTTCATATCAAAGAGCAAAAGTAAATAGCAAACTGGAAACTTACAACCACAGGCGAGTTTGCCTCTATAAGTGGTATGACAGATAAAATACATCCATAGGAAACTGCCTGATTCTACAATGCCACCAAAATGTCTCCAGGGAACAACATAAAGTAACAATGTGTCACTCAGTGGTATGGTCTGACGTCATGTTTCCCATACAATATAATGGATTACAACTGAAATAATTAAGCATTCTCTCGTCTGATGAAATCTGTATATCAAACGAATTCCATGTGGCTATAAAAACTGGTATCTTGCAATGACAAAGTCCTCTAAACTAAATTTATTCTGGTATATACACGTATGTAAAGTTATGGCTGTTCCTTAGCAATGTGAATTTCTGTTCTGTCATGTACCTTCTACAAATTATCAATAAATTATCTATCTACTTGAAATGAATTGGTGCCCTCTTTATGAAAGAAAATGTCCCAAAACATTTTTGAAATATTAATATTTCATTATCATTATGCAAAAAGAAACATTACTATTATGTATTACACAATACAGAATTCTTACCTTATTAAACTTTAAAACATCTGTGAAACATATTTAGTTTAATCAACAGTTACAGGAGTAATTACAAAAATACAAATTTATAATCTGTGCTATCCAATTCTAAATAACACATGTCACCAAGAAAAGGCATTACTGTATATAAAAAATGTGCATGAAGTTCTCAAACACAAAAAGCCTAAAACTGGAAAAAAAATTAACTTAAACTGCAATGAACAAACTGTCTCCTAAGTCTTCAAAATAATGGGACAGTAGTTATGAAAAACGATTTAAATACAATTACTCAGAACATTACACAACCAACTTGCCTTCCAGTCAGTTTGGAACTAAGATGAATGTTTCTACCTCAAAGCCTATAATCTTAATGTGCTTGTAAATTCTACTGTCATATCTGCACACTGTCTTGTATGCAGCCTTTTAAACTGAAATTCCTTCATTCAGCATCCATTTGCACACCACCAAGAGCCCCATCTCTCATAACTTCAGCATATATTGTTAAAGTATTGGCTGTGGAACTAGTAACTCTGATATTATTTGCCAATTTCATTAATCATTCCAGGTAAATGAGAGGAAAACATTTGAAACGGGCCCCAAACAGTACCTTTTTCATCCCTGCTAAATCAGTGTTCATAACCATCATCAGACATCACTTGAATCACAAAATTTCTTACCACCTGCTGGACTCCACACATATTTATCAATAATTAATCAGTTGTGTCCACAATCCATTATTGTGTGATTCATCAGAAGATTCCAAATGATAACAATGTCATCAACTTATTCAAGAATAAAAATTCTGTTCTATGTGCTGCAATGGCTACAGCAGGTACTGATGGTTACCTCTGCTTTATTTACTTCATCATCCAGATATCCAAAGGATATAAATCTCAAATTAGTGAATCAGATCTCCACTGCATAGTCAAAAATAGAGCCATACAACATTTTTAAGTCTATAAAAATTTAATATTTGAGGTTTTCATGGCAATCGAAGATTTATATTGTGTATATTCTTGTTTATGATACCACACTACAATCCAGTAGGTGGGCACCAATGTTTTGGAGGAACATACTTCCTTCACCTTCCGGGTATGCATACACTGTGTTCCTCCAAAACACCGGTACCTGCCTACCAGACTGTAACATGATAACATAACTCAGGAGACATAATGTGAATATATATACATACGTTCAAGTTAGTGAAAGCAAAGGTAAAGAAAGTACACATATGTACATTTTCTAATCTTCTCACATTAAATCCATTCACACAGTCAAGCTACTAATGGACTTCTGTGAAGTTTAAGTGTTACTCTGGATACATTCCAAATATTCTAGTGAGGAAAATAAAGATATACAGTATTTGGCACTGAAGGAGAAAACAACTGCATCCAGGGATAGCATTATGTACATAACTACAACCAGAGCAATGGGCAGACCTACTTGATGGATGAAATTGAAATAATTAAAGGTAGGAAAATTTTCCCTAGTAATCCAAATTATGTTCTAATATGTATGCTATCATGCATTCTTGGACAATTCGTGACATCTGCTATGTTCTGATGTCCACAATAATATTACTGCACACAGAAATGCGCAAGAAACAAGAATATTTCAGTCACAGTATCACACTTCCAAATGCAGGCTAAACTAAATTTACTGGTATACTATAAGGAAGCAAGCCATGCTGTAAGCCTCCAAACAAATGAGAGTTGAATGGGACTTTTCTTTCTGTAAACAACGCAGACTGAATGGATGTTTGCAATTCCACATAATAACGTTGCCACCTCTTGGCTACTCATTAACATTGTGAAATATGATACTTCATTGCTTCTATAGCTCTGCAGACCACGTTCTACAGAACAGGTGAATCCACAACCAAAATTGTATTTCTTCTGAGAATGTCTTCCTTCCATGTCCCTACAATTCCTTCTTCCGAAAGGGTTCTTCATTTGGACCATCACCACATAACTAACACAATGTGCAACTATACAGCCAGAAGACTATAAAAGTGATCGCTTCCATACACTACAACAACTTCCCCAGTATCAGTGATTTCTTGTGAATATACATTAAAGCAATGTTAGCACAAAAATTATAGCCTTTATGTTTATCTTTTGGCATACTCCAGGAAACATTTAATAAATCCCAGAAGAATCAAAAATCACAATTTGGGAACCACCACTCAAGTCCAAAAGCACAAATAATATAGCCTCTTTGTCTCATTTAATATTCATAGGAAAGTAATTTAACATGTTTAAGGGAAACAATCAGGGACAATAAGTCTGAATTTTGTCAGCTTAAGAAATTAAATTTTGAATGTAAGCCAATGGTAACTACCCATCATCATTCACCACATTCTTGGAACTGAGGGGGAGCCTAATGATTATAACTAACTCCAAAAGAAATACTTTAGAGAAATCAAAACATGTTCAAAAGCTTTGAAACTTTTACTTTCCAAATTATTATTATCTTTTAGTATGCCTAACCCTTTTGTTCTTTAATTTTACACTGATGAAATATGCAGAAGGCAACAATGTCACAATGATTTGGAAACAGGAAGACTGTTGGTGAATAATAAATTAAAGTATGATAAAATGCCTACCTGAGAAGCACCAACGGCCTGTTGCTCGAGCAAAAATGAGCATAAAGATGATGATAAGCAGCACAAGGATAGCCACAACAATTCCAATGATGGGACCAGTTCCAAGTTCCAGTGATCCTGTTCAAAATGAAATATGTTATGTAATTTTTTGATGATAACAGAAAAAGAACAACATGAACCAATAGTGTCTTCCTCAGAATGCAGTAATTAAATAACAAACTGCTGACTGAATCAGCTAGTTTAAAAAAATTCTACAGGTTCACACCACTAATACTAATGTCAGTCAATGTAAATCATAGTGAGTCAGTTTGTTCTAGTTCAGATTTTAAAAGAACATCTCCCCATCAGCCATTTTAATATTATCCTCCCCTGTCCTTCTTGGTCTTCTAAGTGATCCCTTTCAAATTAACTTCACTACCAAAAATCTGCAAGTATTTTTTCCTTCTTCCACTTTGGCTCCTTGCCTACCAGACAGAGATATAGTAAATCCCCTTTCGAAATGTCCAAATTTGGAACAAAATTTCCAGTGTTGTTTGACATTTCTGTTGCTTTGAAAGTAGTAAGACAAAGGGAAGGATATGCGATGTGCATTAACAGTGTTTGCAATTGCACTATAATCTGCTGCAGAGGAAACTGCCCCACTGTCTCATTCTTACCACTAATGTCTCATCCAGTCATCAAAAGTTCCTTAATAAATTACGATAACTATTTGCAAAAGCATATTTTTTGTTTTAATATTCTAACTGTTATTACTCAGCAGCTTATTACTTTCCTTAGTGATTCCTATTTCCTTTGCTTACTAAATTTAGTGGCTGGGGTTCAGTACGAATTTCGAAGCTGAATACTGGAATGCTTGAATATATGCCAAGTAATTCAGTTATTTCTCATGAATATTCTTCACTTATTATTGTTATATATGATTATATTGAGGAGGGTGAAATTAGCAAAATATCTAGAAAGTCAGACACTAAGACACAGATGACAGGACAACATTATAATACATCTTATGAGACATTTGTTGTGAGGATGTGATTTGAATTTACAAATGATAAATCTAATGGTGGATTTTTATATACAAAGAGACGAACTTTTGTGTTACATAAAAGCTGGGAAGTTCATGGCCAGCTGAATAATTAACATATGATCAAGGAAGATTCTGTATAGGAGTCCCATATTCTGTTTTTTGATGGGAGAAAGGAAAGCTTAGAGGTTGTGTTGATTATATAATGGTCCCACCCCAAGTGACACAACTTCTTCCTGCTCTGCTTTGTGTTGATTATATAATGGTCCCACCCCAAGTGATACAACTTCTTCCTGCTCTGCTTTTCCTTGATGAAGCCTGAAACAAGGTACTAACAGACAACAGCACATTCCTTGATCTTTGCAGCTACAATTCGATGGCAGATGTGTGACATACGTTTGCCACCACCTATTAACTGTGTGTCAGAGTGTGTACCAGTGCATACTGGCTAAAATAGCACTGGTGAACTTTATATTGCAGGCCTGAAAAAATACAGTCTGTGGCAGTGGTTCTCAACCCTTGTCAGACCGCAGCACGGTAAATTGTTTTTCTTTTCTATAACATGAGGGCCTAGTACTGGGCCGCAGTCCAGCGGTTGAGAAACACTGGTCTATAGGATAAATTCCATGAAATGAGTTACAGGTGCGAACACATAATAATGATATCTCTTCACATACTTCATAGGATAACGATTTGTGTACCTGCAAGCCAATTATGTTTCCTAAAGGTATCTTGTTTTATACTCATATCCCATATACCATAGTTATCTAGAAAACAGAATCAGGAATCAGAAGTTATTTTTCATACCTTGTGGTTCTGCACTGGTGGAAATTCTCACTGTATACTGCTGTTCACCCACTTCATTTCTTGCTCTCAAAATATAATTTCTAGCCACATCCTCAGCAGTGACTCGCATTATGCGCAGCTGTGCTTCCCATGTACCATTGCCCTGTTCCAATATGAACAATTCTCTAAGTTCAAGGCAAATAGAAATTTTTCAATGGTCATAACATTTTAAGAAATCAGTCAACCCTTACACAATAAATGTTACCATCCTACATTTCCTAGTTCTGTAGTTGTTTCCATGTGTAAGAGTCATTCACTGTTCAGCCTTGTTTGTTCGTTCAGCAACTAATTAATTTAGGTTACCATAGAAACCAGTTTTTATCTCACATCATCTTCTTTACTGCCACTCCCAGTAATTCCTCTGCACCATTAGTTTAATATGAACAAACATTCCTTAAAATGTTATAACCACTGTAGTCTGTATTAAACCTCCTTTTGGATGAAATAGACATACATACACAAAGATATTGTAGTGTGTAGAGCCATTGCTATGCAACGATCATGAGATAGGCAGATATATTAGGGTGGTTTCTGGGCAATGGCTTGGAAAACACGTTCCCACAGCTACAGACACGAATGAAATAACAGAACAGCTGTGTTTCCTATGTGGTCGAAGCTGAGATGTTATATGCAAGGGATAAGGTTATAGTTTAGTTAGTTCTGTATAGCAGTCTATGAAGAGAGGACTTGAGCTGGAGGCAGAGGAATAGCCACTGTTGTAGCCATTATCAGGAAACGTCTAGTAATGGACTGAGAACACTACACTGTGTGCTCTAGTGAACTGTAAAGTGTGGAAATAGCAACAGTATTATAGTGATTTGTAGTTATGACCTGTAAGTGGCCAATAAATCTATTTATCAATCAAAACTCCATCTATGGTCATACATACTATGTGAAAATATAAAGTAACTCTACTCTGAGCCATTTCTTTAATACATTCTCCTCCAGCCTTGTACTCGGTTTAACTTAATTAGAGCCAAGTCTATTTTGTCTTTAGTCTTCCTTTTATTATACAAGTCTAACTATGCTATCATTAATTATTAGGACCTTTTAGGAGCACTCACATCAGAACATTGCAAAAATGCACATATTGGCTTCATTATATTTATTTTTTTTATTTACATTTATACATTCCGTTGATCCTTATGGTACAGCTGACCAGTGGATATGGATTTTGTCACAAGCTAATAGATTAAAATACGGAAAATACAAAAACTTACATACTTTTGTCATTAAGACAGTTAAAAGATTTATATTAATGTACAATGCATAAAATGATCAAAATTATAAAACAATAATTGATACAAAATACTTAGGTAATGATATAAAATTAACATATCAGGGGTACAATTACCAAATACCAAATATCAATTATATCTGTTTGTTGGCTCCCACTAAAACTGTTTAACATATCTGTCTTTTAACAATTATTTGAAAAAGTTATTTGTTAAGAATAGCTCAAAAGTGTTGGCAATTTTATATGTCTGTTGTGCCACATTCCTGATCATGAAACTGCCCATGAAATATAACATTTGAGGTTCTCTCAGTAATGGTTATGAGCAGGTCTATGCTCTAGGGTATAATGCCTTGCAGTCCGCTGACTTTAACAGACTACATGGCATTACATCCCAGAATGCAGAATTTTTCACACCCATGAAAAGTTTACTCTGACCCCCTGTAATTTTGCATATCTTCTGGAATGAAGCCATAACATTATTAAATCATGAACACCATTATTAACTTTAACAGTATTATGAAGAGCACATTATTAAACTCTAGTAAATGTTCTTCATAAGCACTTGCCCCTAACTATTCTCCTAGTTGGTCATGAAACAGAAAAGCTGCTCACTTTCTTTTTTCACCATAGGTCTGCCCCATTAAGTAAAGTTTTATTTTACAGTTCGGACGGTTAGCTTGATTATGTTAACAACGGTTACTGTTGTAGCAATTATGAATGCCAAATAAAATGAATGAACGAATAAAAGAATCCACAGAGGAATTTACAATGATCTTTCCTGTATATGCCAAAATATTGTTTCATAATGACCCTTTGGAAGCCACATTATCAACTTCTAGAATTCAATTTCAAGTTTTCTAGTAACTACAAAACCTGAAAGGTAGTATATTCTGGGATATAATGGTGTGAAGTCCGTTGAAAGCCAACCAGTGCTTCCAAGGAATATACTGCTTGCATCTTCAGGATCAAAGAATAAACCAAGCAAGATACCAGCAGAGCTGTTTGCCACCTGCTTTCATGCTGGTATCTTGCTTGGCTTATTCCTCAACCCTGAAAATGGAGGCAATATGTTCCTCCAAAATGTCAGTTGTCTTCCAACAGAATACATGGTGTTAAATCCCAGAAGGCAGTATGCTTCATAACCATCGCTGTGAGAACCTCCAATCCTACAACTACGAAACCTCTCACGAAAGCAGCAAATCCTGGGCCAAGCCAACCCCAGACCCTCAAAATTGCAGGCTTCAGTCAGTCTATGTACAAAATTACTGATAATCATTGAGTGATCTGATATATACTTGCATGAGCCCACAATTATTTAATTATCGAAATCTCCACAACATTCAGAAAAACTATGGCTGTAAACTAAAGCAATGAATGGCAACCTACAAACTATATTTCCAAGATGTGTATGGTGATATATAATATGCCACTAGAAATTAAAAGCACAACTAGCAGTACATGAATAATAAACCTATTTGCTTAGTGGGAGGTGGAGTCCAACGGGGTCCACTCAGCATGGCGGCCACTGTTTGGCCTATTGTAGCCTGCCCTGGGTGGGTATGATGATGGAGAATTTGGTGGAATGGAGATTGGCAAGGGAAACCGAAGTACTCGGAGAAAACCTGCCCCAGTGCCACTTTGTCCACCACAAATCCCACTTGACCAGCCCCCCGGGATCGAACCCGGGCCACCACGGTGGGAAGCCAGTAACTAACGGCTTTAACTATGGCGCTGCCCATAATAAACATACACTGAACTTTATTTTTGAGTTTCTAATGAAACAAGTAACATTTTTAACATATTCAAGTACATGAGACTAGATGGACGTTATGGTTGCACACATGACATTGCACATATATACGTCAACTGAAAGGTAAGTAGCTGTCAACTCCAGCTCATCTGTAATGGCCAACAAGTCACAAACTGCTTACCATATGTAAAAAGAAAGAAAAAATCATTATGAAAATTGGTGGAACACATACCATGTCCCTTGCTGAGGTAGCCTCAAATCGTTGTGTAAGGTCCATACTTCCTTCAGGAAAGCTATCTTGATCAATAATCCATGTGAGTTTAGGTTTAGGATTGGCATGAATTTGGACAGAAATAATGCCTTCCTCTCCCACTATAAATCCAAACTGTTCAATTATTCCATCTACTGGACGAGGTGCAACTAAACAAAACATAACAAACAATAGTAAATAAATATAACCACATGATTATCTTCAAGTCTGATCAGTACTGTAGAATTAAATCATTATTAAGTAACCAAACATTATTCAAATTGCAGGTACTGAGTATTAAAAAATGTGGGCCTACTTATCAAAAGTGTAATTACTTAAACCTAGGTCACAATTATTAAAATTATGAGTACTGTTATTTAAATGGTTAAATGTCCACCTCTAGGTCCAATCTTACTCATAAATAAATCTTATTCTTCCTATGAATTATGGCAAGATAAATACAGTGCGTACAATCAAGTGCGCGCCGCGGCTGCAATTTGCCGTGAGTCNTGCATCCGTTCTGCGGTGGTATGACTCACGGCAAATTGCAGCCGCGGCGCGCGCTTGATTGTACGCACTGTATCTTAAAACCCTAATGCCCTTTCAGAAACAAACATTTGACAAGTCACACTCAAAAGAGATAGTTTTAAGTACATATGCATGAAAACTTCTATTTTCATAACAAAATGTCCATGACAGTTAATGTTACCTTTGTGAAATGCTCCAGAACTGAGCAGAATGTATAGTTGGCTGAAATTAATACCAGTGACTTTGGAATCTACTTTAAAACTTGCTTTAAAATTTCACAATTATAAACGGAATAACATTATCAAAAGCAATTGATACACCAGTTATCAATAATACTGTAACATGGACACCCAAAGCATTTCTAGGCGATCGCTCGATAAACATGTTCCTGTGAATCTGCAACAATGGAAACTCTGTCTGCTGTGGGCTATGCTACAACTAATTGCTGGGTGATGCAATACTATGCCATGACTGTTGCGATGCAACAACATGCCTCTACACCGACAGAGAGAGTGTTTTCCATGTGGTCCATGCCACGGCTATATAGTGACAGCCGTGAGCTGTCAGTTCTAGTTCATGTTCAGGACAGAATTAGTTCATGGCAGTTACAGGTGACAGAATCAGTTCAGAGTGAATAACAGCAGCGAAAGGACGTGAACAAAGGTGAGAGGAAACCAGCAGAGCTGGACAGAAGATGACAGATATGATAGGTTGCATCATGTGGAAGACTTCATTTTGAGTAACTGTAATTGTAATCAACTGATCCATTAAATCGCTTTATCTAATCCGGAATCTATTAATTTCTTGTCACATTAACAGGATACATGTGACAATACAAATTTTATAAATAAACTTAAATGTTGTCTTTCAAAATTGTAATATACATGCAAAAGTGGATGCAAAACATTGAGAAGTTACAAGCTGACCACCCTTATATATATAATTTAACAGTATAGGCAACAGACATATTAATCACTGATCTAACACTGCAATATAATATAGCTAGTACGTAGGTCGTACCGAAAGTCATGAGCAACTTCTTTTTGCATGCAACCTGGGAACAGCAGACGAAAGAGAGTATGGTGGTAGGTGAAACCAGCTGTTGTGTTAATCTTGAGTATCTTGTGATGTCAATAGCTTGCATCATGTGACCAGTATCACTCCTAACAAAATGGCCGACAATGATATGTCATTTCGTCAGCGTGCTGTCATCGAATTTCTTGTGAAAGAGGGAATCCCTGCTGCAGAAATTCAACAGAAACTTCTGCGTGTTTATGGAAGTGTGTGGGAACACCAGCATCGAAGATGAGCCTCGGAGCGGTCGTCCTCGAACAGCCTCAACTGAATGCAACAAGGAAAGAGTGGATGAGATCATTCAAGATGAATGCGTGTGACTGTGGACACAATAGCCCAAAATCTTGGAATAGGGCACAGTGCAGTACAGGAGATGATTGAAAGCTTGGGCTATAGGAAAGTTTGTGCTCGTTGGGTCCCGCGGTTATTGGCCAAAGACCACAAAGGTCAGCGAAAATCCATCACCTCAGAACTGCTGCAGAGATATCGACATGAAGGCTATGATTTTTTGCTCTGTATTGTGACAGGTGACGAAAGCTGGTTTCACCATTTCGAGCCTGAAATGAAATGGCAGAGTATGGAATGGCACCATTTGCATTCTCCATCAAAAAAGAAGGCAAAGACAGTGCCATCAACTGCAAAGGTGATGGGCACAGTTTCCTGGGATGCAGAGGGGGTTATTGTGGCTGAATTCCTGGAACCTGGGCTGGAACCTGCTGCTCCTTATGTCCAAACGCTGCACAAGCTCTGTCGTGCATTGCGCGATAAACGTCCGGGACAAAACATCATCATGCTGCATGACAAAGCTCGCCCCCATGCCACTTGCCTCACATTGGAAGCAATTGCAAAGATGGGGTGGGAAGTTCTTCCACACCCCTCCTATAGCCCTGATCTGGCACCCTCCGACTACCATCTTTTCGGATTTGTGAAGGATTGGCTGCATGTACAATGCTTTGAGACAAGGGAGGCAATTCACAAAGCAGTGCGTCAGTGTCTTCGGATGGCTGGAATGGAATTTTACAGAAGGGGAATTTTCAGACTCCCAGAACACTGGGAGAAATGTGTACAAAGAAGTGGCGATTATGTGGAAAAATAAAGAAAGGTCTGTAGACTGAGGTGGTGTATTTGGTTTGTCAATAATAAAGCATGTTACTTTACAAAAAATTGTTGCTCATGACTTTCAGTATGACCCTCGTATTTAAGCTGGAATCAAAGACGAACCATAATGATTAGAGAAATTTTTAGGCTGAGAAAGAACTGGTATATATGCATATATGAATGAATTCAATTTTTAGTTGCAAAATGTGAACTGAATGTTGAAGGCATTTATATTATTCGTCTACTCACATCTCACACTAATCTGTATCACTGTCGGTTTCATTTCACCATCTAGCGCTATATGTGTCGCCACACACTTCAGATCTTTTCTATTATCCCTCCAGGTCAGCCTGCGAGTGAGATTCTGATGAACCGTGAATAAATCTGTTGGTGATTCCACAATTTCTGGGCGACCAACTCCATCCGTAATCTGATCATCACCTGTAAGTTATAGAAGCACAAAGACTTTGATTACTAAATGTATCTAAACATAAAGATAAACCCATTAAGTGACATCTGCAAAATTTACTATAAATCTTGGACCTAGAATAAAAAATATCAGGTGTGAAATCTGTTTTATAAATTGAAAGACAGTTGAAATGTATAAATATAAATAATAACCAGTTTATTTCACACTCAGGAAAAGCCCAAGATGCCACTAACTGGACACAGAGAAAACTAAAACTATCTTCTGTCATTGTTAGGATAAGGGGATAGGAATAAAAGAAAAAAAAAAAAGTAAAGGTATCCCTGTAACAGGCAGTGGAGGCCCAGAGGGTTGTGAGACCTTGAGGTTCCCACATTTTCTAGACAATCGGTTCATAGATGGTGGCAAGGTTGTCAGCCCTACATGCCGGCCGCCCTTTACCCCCAAGAATATTCCTGGTACTCATTTCTGTTATAAGCTCAGTCGACCCCAGGGCCATATTATATTTTTTTATTGCTAGTGGGGTGGGACTAAGTCCCTTGTAATTCGGCCACTTCTGGACTATTGTACCAGCCCCAGATGATAGGTGAGGTAATTGTGGAGCAATTGGTGGAATGAAGATTAGCAGGGGAAACCGAAGTACTCAGAGAAAACCTGCCCCAGCGCCACTTTGTCCATCACAAATCCCACTTGACCAGGCCCGGGATCGCTGTGGGAATCCAGCAACTAACTGCTTGAGCTATGATGCGACCACTCCAAGGCCATAGTGAGGCTGGAAGGATTAGGTCAATTGAAGAAAGTCCTGTGACCACATCGGGACTTGAACCCACAACCTTCCAGCTTGTAGGATAATGCCTCAACCAACTATGCTACCATGTGCCCCAGAATAAAAATAAGATGGACAAATAAATACTAAAGATAGGAAATGAACATGGGAGAAAGGAGGAATGGAGATAAGGGATAGAGATATGCAAGAAGAGGAATGAGGGGACTGTTTTTCTGTGAAAGAGAGGAAGGAAGGAGGGAAGAGATGAAGAAATTACATTGTCTGTTGTCTTTTACAGGTCATATGCTAGTATTAACACAACAGAAGAAAACTCTAACTACCATTATCAAAGTTTTAGATGCCGTTACAATCTGGCACCCAGAATTTGGCAAACCTGATTTAAGATTTATTTATTTTAACATATGTTAATCTATTATTTAATTTTGATTGCAGTGTAAAACTAAATCAACAGTTGTCTGGAATGTGATCTTCCAAATGCTGGACTAAGCATGACAGCCTATCTGAATACATGGAATACAGATCAAATGTCACTCTCTCTCACTCCTACTCTTTCTCTTAAGAATACTGGTTCTGTCATAATGTAATAATTCTGTAACTAAGCCCATGCAGCAGAGTCCTTCTTCAGAAGCTAACAGTTGCTCAGTAAGTTATGAAATTTATTACTGTGTTCAAAGAATAATCCTAATAGCCCCATCCTGAAAGACATAAATCCAATATCAAAGGAACTGGATCCACCAAATGAAAAGAGTGTATAAAAGTGGGTCTGAAAGAAAAAACATTGCCAGTATACAATGCAAGGTAGAATCAAAACAGGTTTTACAGAAACTACTGCCATTTGTGGAATTCAGTAAATGGTTTCTCTATCTGCCAGTTCAGCTGAACACTGTTTGTCAGTTTTATAAAGTGGCATATTAAATGCAGATCTTTATGATAACTCAAGTTTAATAGATGCCGCAGGAAGGACTGGAGATCATGGACTCTGTTGTGGGAAAGCTAGTTCAGTTACTCAGATGATTACTTATTTAGAAATGGATGAAGCACTAACTCACCCATAAACCATAAAAGATTGGCTGCTGGGCGTGCATCTGTCACTGTGCACATTGCTTTTATAGATGTGCCCTCAGTGTATGTTCCAAACCGAGGATCAACCTCTGGAGTGATCGTGAGCTCGGGTCGATTTCGTGGGGGTCCTGTAATAAAATCACCTAGGTAAAGATCAAGCATCGTATTGTATTGTATTGTATTTATATTTGTTCAAGAAATCCAAAAAAGGATATAGAACATGTCACAGAACTAAATATAAAGATACAACATACAAAAACATACAAACATACAAAAACATAACAAAACATACAAGCAACTTTCTAAGTCCCACACAACACTGCAGAACAACAGACAAAATCAAGAGTAAGACTGAATAATGTATAGTAAAAGGCAAATACTTTAAAGAAGAAGAATTTCTGGGGAGGACTTATGCTACCTACTTTCTTTTAAATGCTTCCAGCTGTACATAAATTATGGTGGTATTTACAAATTGACCTTTTGAGGTTGAAAGTGCTATTGCAAAATTGAAACGGTATAAATCAGCAGGTTGTGATCAAATTTCGCCAGAACTTATTCAAGCAGGAGGCGAAATATTACGTTCTAAGATCCACAATCTAATTACTTCTGCTTGGCATAAGGAAAAATTGCCTGATCGGTGGAAAGAGTCTATTATTGTACCAGTGCACAAGAAGGGTGATAAAACTGACTGTAGTAATTATCGGGGGATATCACTGCAAGTAAAGAGGTTGGGCTAGAAGTAAACACAGAGAAAACAAAGTATATGTTACTGTCTCGTCACCAAAATGCAGGACAAAATCGTGACATAAAGATAAAAAACAGATGTTTTGAAAATGTGGCACAGTTCAGATATTTGGGAATAACGATAACAGATCGAAACCTGATTCAGGAGGAAATTAAGAGGTGATTGAACTCGGGTAATGCTTGCTACCATTAGTCCAGAACCTTTTGTCTTCTTGTGTGCCGTCCAAAAACATAAATATTAGAATATACAAAACTATAGTTTTGCCTGTGGTTCTGTATGGGTGTGAAACTTGGTCTCTGACATTAAGTGAGGAACATAGACTGAGGGTGTTTGAGAACAGGGTGTTGAGGAGAATATTTGGACCGAAGAGAGATGAAGTGACAGGAGGTTGGAGGAAACTGCATAATGAGGAGCTTCATAACTTTCCGATTTCAAAAATGCGCGGAATAGAAATAAAGAAAGATGCAGGCAAAGTTGTTTTATTATTTGAAAGGACATAGAATGCAGTTTTATTTTAATGGGGTTTAAAAATAATACCTTCCAAATGGCCACCTCTGTTTTCCATACACTGACGGAGCCTGTCATATTCCGTGGAATAGCGTTGATTTCTTCGGTGATGGCAGCCTTCAGTTCATCGATAGTTCTGGGACGATGTGTGTACACCTTTGCCTTGAGGTAGCCCCACAGAAAAAATCGCATGGCGTTAGATCAGGCAATCTGGGGGGCCACCCGATGTCACCCCGAAAAGAGACAAGATGACCAGGAAACATTTGTCTTAGAATCTCCATCGAAAGACGCGAGGTGTGCGCCGTAGCACCATCTTGTTGGAACCAGATATCTTCCAGGTCATGATCTTGTGATAATTCATCCAATTTCGGTAGAAGAAAAATTTCAGGCATGTAACAATATCGAGCAGAAGTCACTGTAACGACTCCACCATCTTCTTCGAAGAAGTAGGGACCCCAGACACCACAGTCGGAAACAGCGCACCACACCGTCACTCGAGAGCTGTGGAGTGGTCGTTGGTGAAGGTTGTGAGGGTTATTCTCAGCCCAGTGGCGGAAATTTTGTTTATTTACAGTCCCGGACAGGTGAAAATGGGCCTCGGCACTACAGATCGAAACAGCTGTGGAAAGGATACTCTACAGAATGTCGTTGCACAAATTTCTTCGTGTTTCAAAGTCTCCTTCACTTAACTCTTGCACTATGTGCATCTTGTATGGTTGCATTTTGAGGTCTCTATGAAGGATTCTTCTAACACTACGGGCAGATAATCCAAGTGCAGCGGCGTGTTTCCGTGCAGAACGCTTGGGGGATTGTAAAATTGAAGCCCGCACTCTAGCCACATTTGCTGCCGATGTTGAAGTCCTGGTCCGGCCTGAAGATTTTCTTTTTAATGCAGAAGATGTCGCTCTAAAATTTGATACACAATTTCTAACTGTTGATCCAGTGGGAATGGGATCACGCCGACCGAGAGCAAAGTGAGTGCGAAAGGCTCGCTGGGTTTTGATCACAGTACCGCCGTTTTTAAATAAACTCTTCCAGCACGAACGCACGATGTTCTCCCGACCAAGCCATTGTGTGTACTGAAAAGTGTAAGCTATAACGCGTCTAACGATACCATCCCCACAACTATACCCCCCACCCTAGCCTCAGCAATGACCTTGTGAAATCGGAAAGGTTAATATGCCCCACTCTGTATAATTAGAATGATCAAGTCAAGGTGGATGAGGTGGGCAGGTCATGTAGCACGAATGGGGGAGACAAGAAATGGTTTTGGACATTGGTGGGAAAGCCAGAAGGAAAGAGACCACAGGGAAGACCAAGGCGTAGGTGGGTGGACAATATTAGAATGGATCTTGGAGAGATAGGATAGGATGGTGTGGATTGGATAGATCTGGCTCAGGATAGGGACCAGTGGAGGGCTCTTGTGAACACGGTGATGAACCTTCGGGTTCCATAAAATGTTGGAAAATTCTTGAGTAGCAGTAGAATTGGCGGCTCCTCCAGAAGGGTTCAGCTCCATGAGTGAGTGAGTGAGTGAGTGAGTGAGTGAGTGAGTGAGCGAGTGAGCGAGTGAGCGAGTAAGCAAGTAAGCAAGTAAGCAAGTAAGCAAGTAAGTAAGTAAGTAAGTAAGTAAGTAATTTACAAATTAATAAAGAGACAACTTCAATCTCTATCTTGAACACACTTTGCATTAGCTCAAATGTTCTCTAGGTATGAGAAAGTATATCGCTCTTTTGTTTACATCTGTTAAACGGAGTCATTATTTGATCAAAACCAATAGACAATACACTATATATATATAGCTATACTTATAACATAATTACAGTGATTTGTTCCTTCATTCGTTCTTTATAAATATGAATATCAATTATGAATGTCCACCATCCATTCAATGCCCACAGTCAATGAAGGCACTAACTCTCTTAAAGTCTGGAGGCATATATGCAAATGTATACTAGAAACCAGAAGTCTTTATCAATGGATTCAGTTCTTACTTGCAACTGTAACGATGGTGGCCCCATGCGACTCATTCTGCTCATCTGAGAAACCCAACATGCATTTGAATTGGCCATTCTGTCTGTCTGTCATTCGGCTAATGGTGATGCCACACTGGCCATATTCGATGCCTTCACCTGCATACCAGTAATCACTGGTCTTTGGGACTTTCTCATTCATGTTGAGGCCATTACTCAATCCTGGAATCTCAATGCGGCAGTACATGAGTGGCTTTCCCACGCGACACATGAAAGTGAAGTTTGACCCCACTCTCACTGTTGGATCCTTTGGAGAAACGTCGACCTGAACACCACTGGCACCATCTGAAACATGAGAAGGAAGCTTGAATCTCTACAGCGCCATGGAACGGTCATTTCCTTAAATAATACTTAAATTTATGTGACCCCTCGTCTCTGCCAGTTATCGAAAAGTGTGGGTGTGCTCATTGCTTTAGGTCCCAGTCAAGCTGCACAGTGATAGAAGGAACCTAAATAGCCTCACAACCTATGTACACCAACAATAAACTATAAAATGTTCCTGCATACTCATGAAAAGATTCACAAAATATTTCGGTGGCTGCAGCTACATTTGTTGAAAGCACATATGTTAGATCAACTGACCTGGTAAAACTTTGCGACAGGATACAACTGAAGTATGCTTTACGTTATTCTTGAGAACACGGCAACCCCCTCCCCTTCATAGACGGTCGGGATCGACAGTTTCTGAAAATAAATTTTATGGGTCCCTAACAACGGTCGAATCATATAGGCCCACCAATATTAGAGTCAACGCCCGGAGCGTGGAGAATATACACAACAGGACAGTTTCCAATACAGTAAGGGAGAAAACTTATTCATTACTTGAGATGGGCGACTGTAGTATGAGCGGGCTTGTCGTTTTCAAACCCGAAAGCTGTGAACAGATAACATCGCCAAAGACGCACAACCCGCAGCCCGCGACCAACAACGTTGTCCATGCAGCAATTCATAATTCTTTTGCGCGATCAGTAATCTCTTTCATACATATCTAATGTCGAAACATGCTAGTTCCACATACATAGCAAGTGGTGTGTGTAATTGTAAAAAAAAAATACGACAAACTGTACATTTTAAATTTCAATCAACTACGATTTCGACATAAAGCCAAACAGCAAGCAAATTCTCCGTGCCGCTCCACTGTACGCTGCTGTATGGCTATTTTCGGCCCAGCTGGCAGAGCTGCAGCGCTACATTTTACTTGTCTTCCCCTCCCATGGTGCCGAATGATTCCTTCTTTCAGTGAAGAAAACCAACTATTAAATTATGTTATGCAGCCTTTACCGACAAGGAAGAGCACTGTGGAAATCTGAAGGGCTTTCGGAAACCCATGGCCCCTTAAACATTATAACAATAATCGGTTTATTTAGAGGTTACTGTCTCACTGTCGGCAACAATTATGCTGTGTTCACTCGTCAATTCACAGCGGCGTCACTCTCGCTCACTGCACTCAAATTTTCTCTTGACTTCTCTGTACTGCACTGAACTGATCTAAAAACTGGCTCAGTCACTATCTAACTCGCAGACTCAGACTGGAAGCAATGATCGAGCACTAACTGACTCACTACTCACAGTCGATAGCCTGCATTACACTGCACCGCACCGGACTTGGGGTTCGCGAAAATTTGACTAGTTTTACTGACACCTCGCCCGTAGGTAAAATTCTTGAAAGCTCCTGGGAGACCTTGGCCTTTGTCGTCAGATGAATGGTTTGCCTAAATTCCAGAAAGGGTGGGGGGTCTCGGTATTTCGATGGCAAGCGTGCGAATGTGATATCATGTAATCTGGTAGACATTCATAAACGTTTCGGAGCATCTGGTACCTCCCTCGCTAAATTATAAGGCAGCCAGCAGGTTCCTCCGAAACGCTGGCAGTAATAAATAACTATCAGACCATACGGCGTCATATCCCAGAAGACAGTAATGTTCACAGTAATTTCCGTGAGAGCCTGAAATCTCACATGATCGTTTGTTAATTAACGAATTCCAAGCGCAGGTTTTTCTTACAGCAGCTAATAGTTACACGTTTTGAGGTATTCGCTATGGCAATTATTGAAACTGTGGTCCTCTGGTTTAGGGCCGACACAGACATATCTGAGAAACCCTAGTGGAGGCATGTTCCTCCAACACGTCGGTGTCCTCCCACAAAAGTATACGGTGTTAAAGCCCAGAAGACGATAATCTTAAATTAACAGTCGTTTTGCTGATCAAAACGCCCACGGCGCTGTGGAACTACAAGGTTAATTACCATGATCAAGAGATCGTGGGTCATATCGCAAGCCATATCATTCCAAAACACATCTTCTAAAATTCATTCTAATGTCAAACTATTTTTGCCCCAGTTCTCTAACTACCTCTTCCTCTTCAGGTTCCCAAATTTACATTTTGTGCGTATTCCTTCTTGTTTACCGATGCATGCAATGTATCTCTCCCACATTTAACGTCTTTCTTTTTCCAACCTAAAAATATGAGATGACAATCAGGAACTCTGAAGCTCATTACGTCATTTTCTGGAGCCTAATGTTCTCTTATCGGAGAGTTCCCGGACTAGGTCAAGAAAGAAATGTTGGCTTAACTTGCGCAATTTTGGCTGCCATCTCCTTCAAAACAGTCTCCTTGGGAACGTATACAGCGATCCCACCGTTTTATAAACCCTTCAAAAGCACCGTGGTAGTCATTTTCCTTGATGCTCTCGAGTACGGCTTGCGGTTCCCTTTGGGTGTCAGACACTGTTTCAAAAAGCCGTCCCTTTAGTTTCATTTTAATTTGGGAAACAAAGTGAAATGACAGGGACGACTAGGGAGGTTGAGGAACGATAATTATGTTGTTGTTAGTCACAAACTTTGTGGTTTTCAGAGACGTGTGGGAGGTTGCGTTGTCATGATGAAGGAGCCACTTGTGGTTGCGCCAAAGTTCCGGTCATTTTCATCGCACATTTTCTCTCAAACCCCTCAAAATGTAAAACTAAGTCAGACTTGACTGTAGTGTTTTTTTTTCCTTGGCACTACAGCCCCAGTGGACCTAGGCCTACCTCCATGAACTTCTCCGTTCACTTCGGTTTTTCTAGATCTTATACATAACGTAGGACTCCTTGGGCGGGTGATCAGCTAGTCCCAAGGCCTCTACCTGTAGACAAACACAGAAAAACGCACACAAACATCCATGCCCTGAATGGGATTCGAGCCCACGATCCCGGCTTCCGAGCGAGCGAAGACACTGCATGCCTTAGACTGCTCGGCTACCGTGACCGGCAACTGTAGTGTTAGGAGGAACAAATTCACGGTGAACAATCCCCTTCACGTCGAAAAAACAATGAGCATGTTCTTTGTTAAATTCTGGACTAGCCGCGCCTTGTTTTTTTGCTCTTGGTGATTGTGGACTCTTCCAATGCGACGATTATTGCTTTTTCTGGATCATGACCGGAAGAGTAAATCCAACTTTCGTCACCCGTTATGATCCTAGAGATAAAAGTTGGGTCCTCTTTAGTCTTCTCTCGTGGCTCAAGACACGCGTTTATTCGTACGCGCCGCTGCTTTTGATCATTTGTCAAGAGTCGGGGAACAATCTTCGCGGCAATGCGGCGCATGTTCAAATTTCCCTGGCAAAATCCATAACTGATGCAACGGTGTCTGTGAGCTCACAGATTGTTTGGCGACAGTCTTAGTGGATGAGTTCTCGAATTCTTTCAACATTTTTTGTCGTTTTGCTGGTGCATCGTCGCCTTGAACGTTCGTCATCTTCAACTGATATTCAACCGGCCTTGAAACGTGAATGCTATTCAAAACCCGCTGTCCGAACTACTAAATGTTCTCCAAAAGCGTCACGAAGCATTTCAAGGGCTTCGGTAGCGGATTTACCGAGCTTCACGCAAAACTTGATGCAGACACTTTGCTCGATTTTGCCATCCATCGCAGACAAAACGAAACACGAAGTCGAGAAAGCATTCGTGCAAAAATAATGCGTGTTCACAGCGCGCTGTCACGTGGCAGACTGGCGAAAAGGCTTGCGGAAATATGATCTTGACGTCCCCTCTCATCTTCTATCAACTAGGCAGTTACAACAATAACAGCCCGGGAATTTTACGATAGCTTTACGAAAGGGAGCTATGTAATTTCTCTGCTAGTCAGGGATCGGAATTTTAGCCCTTGCTGGGGCAAGTCGTCCTCATTAGTATCCGTCTAACAAACTATCATACGTGGTGATGGCCTCACACATGCGCGAACGCTGGCCCACACACATACAAGTACATACAGATATATTGGATGTCACTCATACAGACCCGATAATCAAACGCGGTTTGAATGACAACCATATTTTTAATTGGAACAGAAGGCAGTCAAACTGCAGTTATATAGGATAATGCATATTTTATGTGACACTCTGTAAATCTGGCATGAAACTAGACTTTTGATAAACATCAGCCGGAAGTACATAGAGCGGGAATTCTGTTTCACAGCACCACTTCATGAAGTGTAACAACACTAATGTCTAAATAAAAGTTAAATCAACAAACACTTAGATTACTAATTCCAGAGAATTCTGGAATGTCTTGCCTGGTTTGTTTAGTTGTTAGAAAGGATATGACGGGCCTCCTTCGAGGTTTCCCGTGACTGCTGCACAATCCGAGTCGTCTTGGGTATTGAAAGGAATGTTTCATCTCTTTGGGAGGAAAGACGTCCATAAGTTTGAGGCACTCAACATTTGGCATCATATTGTAATTTGAAATATCTTAGAATTAATTACATGCCTATATAATTATTATATGTGTAGAATATTAATCGGAAAACTGCAGTGAAAATTCAAGTTTCTTTACGTTCTACCTCCATTAATCCCATAATCCTTTCCCGTTTGTTTATTTAACCCACATGCGAATATATCTATCTACATGGCGCGTCATCGAACGATTAATGCCACCTGTAAGACACTGATGGTAACTATGGCCTCTGTGAGTGCAAAAAAACACACAAACATATACACTGTCAATTACAAATCGTCTCTTATTAAATATCCAAACCTCGTTGTTAAGGACGCTGTTACTATGCATAATCCTGAGCCAGTTTCAACCACTTCACATCCTTGCCAAGAATATTTAATAATGTGGATCTGTCAAAGTATCGGCCTTCCATGTGATCTCACTTTCGAAAAGGTTGTTCAGTTTTCCTACTTGTTATGGATTGAAATGGAATTGTAATAACACAGCTATTCTTCATCCATCCTTTTATCTATGGCTCTACAGCCCTTTGTTGAACCTTGGGCCCCTTTTTCAATTTCTTAATCCTAAACAAAGTCGGTGGGCCCCCTTGGACGAGGGATGAGGCCGTTACCTACACACAGAACAACACAAACACAGAATAAACTCACACCAAACATCCATGCCTTGAGTTGGATTGGAACCCACGATCCCACGGTTCGAGCAAGCAAAGACAGTTCATGCGGCCACTGTGATGGGTCAAGCTATTCGTAGTCGCTTCAATAAAAAAAGAATTAGTTTGCCGGTAACATTTATAACGCTCAGTTCGCCGTAGCTTTCCAAGTTGCAAGTAGTCTGCTGTGCAGGCGTTCCGTCCATCAATACGAACCTGCTGTGGGCGAAAGTAAACATCTAATGATCCTCACATCCGCTGCACTTTCATGCCGGTTACAGGCCTATTCCGCGCAGTGGAAGTTAGTCATAAGTCGTAGAGCTGATGTGACTGCCATTTCCTGCCAGCAACAGTAATGGTGGACTAAGTCCGGTGCAGACACTTCGGCGACTCGAAAATTGCTTTTACACAATTAGATAACTTGAGCTTTCCTTTAAAGTAACGGTTATCTGTACACTCATTTATATTTACATACTCTACATAAGAATTGATCTTAATGACTATTCTGGTTTCTACTAAACCAGAAGGTTCATCACTGTGAGAACTCAATCCTGAAGTAGTNTACTTTTTCTTCTACCCTGAAGATGGGGGCGATACGTTCCTCCGAAACGTCGGTTAACACCACATATACACGGTGCCAAATCCCAGAAGACTGCTTTCTTCATAGTTCAGTCAAGTTCACATCTTCACAACATACATCCTTGGGAGCAATTTTATGATCACTTCCATCTGCGTTTAGATATACTAAATAACATCTTCTACTGAGGTTTCTTAATCTAAAATTCTTATACATTTCATTCCCTAAGTGGTCACTGTGTCTTGCCCACATCATTCAGTTTGATTCAACCAATGAATATTTTATGAAGCCTATCAAATGAGAAGTTTCTCACAATGGATCTTTACTTTTAAGTTATCGCACTCAACTACACCACAAATAAAACAAACCAACAAGAAAATCAGCACAGTTACTAATGTTATAAGGAAAAAAGGATATGTCACATTACTCATTCGGCAACTTCACCGGGTTATATGGCATCGAATAGCAGACCACAGCATTCAGGTTGTGTGACATTTTATAGTCATGTAGCTTGACACCAAACCGCATAATGAGGAGCTTCATAACGTGTACTCTTCTCCAAGTAGAATTAGAATGATCAAGTCAAGGAGGCTGAGGTGGGCAGGTCATGTAGCACGAATGGGGGAGACAAGGAATGCGTATAGGATGTTGGTGGGAAAACCAGAAGGAGCGAGACCACAGGGAAGACCAAAGCGTACGTGTGTGGACAATATTATACTAGATCTTACACGAATAGGATGGGATGGATTGGATTGATCTGGCTCAGGATAGGGACCAATGGAGGGCTCTTGTGAACACGGTAATGAACCTTCGGGTTCATTCCACCAATTGCTCCACAATCACCCTCACCTATCATCTGGGGCTGGTACAATAGGCCAGAAGTGGCCGCAGTGCAAGGGACTTAGTCCCACCCCACTAGCAATAAAAAGAAATAAATTATATTGTGAGATGGCGGCCGAGAGCCAGAAGTTTAACAAGAAACGGCAATTTCTAGACAACGGTACGGTAAACACGTTTCCGCTGCAACGAATCAACGCCCAACAATAGAGGAACTGTTCGAACGGTATCACATATGCGGTCCATGTCGAGGATCTATAGCGAGGACCAACGGAAAAAGAAAATCTCTGGTCGTGATCCTGAAGGGGCTTACCTCCAAGACGAACTGAACTCTGACTCTGATTTTCGCTTAGTCAGAAGTCGGAGTCGGCGGTTATCAGCCAGCGGTCATTCTTGAGTTGTACTGTTAGCAGCTGCTACCTAGCAACGACTAGAGAAGAGACTGAGAAGACTTGATATGTGCTACTGCTGCTACAGAAAGTATGAATCAGTGAGAGTGTTACAATCGTTTATATTTACGAATTATAAGGGTTCAATACATTCAATTATCAATCCCATCACAGTGACTAGTCATTAACACGTGACAACCCATTAAATGACACCAATGTCGCTCCAACCTTATTAAGTTCAATTGCCCGTCATGTTGGTACTACTGATGGTAGAAAATGTAGAAAAGCACGGAGTTTGGTAGCCTAATGTCAATACCGTGTCATCACTTTTCAGTTTCGACAGACTTGATCCACAGCTACCGACACACCGGCGGCATCGAACGCACACCTAATCATAGTTCCATGTAAATGTTAGACTAGTCTTCAGCATTAAGAACTAGAAGTTCGGTATATTTAGACAAAGCCCAGTCAGAGTTTGAGTTCCTTTACGACTGGCGGTTTACAGCCAATCAATTGATCTTGGCATCAGACCCCTTGAGGCCAACGACCAGAAATTTTTTCCAACTGAACTCTTGCGGTAATAGTCCTCATGTAACATCCTCTCTGACGAGAAGATGGGTTTGTCTCTTATGAATACGCTTGGCCTTTAGTCAAGGGTATCTTTAGCACATATAACATCTTATTGAAAAAATCTTTCTTTTTCACTACACACAAATCTTCTGTCAGTACAGGCTTCACAGAGCAGATCATGCCTAAATACTTAACACTGCTTTATATTAAGGAAGAGGCCTGCGGACATTATTGGAAATACAGAAGACGCCTATAAATAGAATATTCCCATATCACAAGATTATTTTCTTTACAATATCTTAAATAGGATGTTACACCTATTTTTTTTAAAAAGCGCTTCAGAAATAATTAACATAGTTTAGCAAAGTTCAAAAGAGCAGCAGCAGGGCGGTAACAGTTTTACGATCGACTAAAGTTACGACACCAGCGAGCCCTGCGTCGTAATTAGGAACTGAAACTGACTGCTGCAGATCTACTGTGCTGGAAAATAAGACTTAAAAAAAATAACACAAAAAAGGGAAAGAAAAGCTTGCCAACTTTTCAGTCACTCTGACGGAGAGCAGCACAACATAACCCGACTTTTCCAACACTGAAACTATCGTACAACAACAACAGAACCATTTATATGTACGGCCTCGGAGCTCGGTGTACTTACAATTCACTGATATCCCCGTAACATCCAACAATGAAAATGTTCAACACAGAAGTTTCCAGACTCTCTTCAAAATAAACATTTTTCAATAAAATGACAAGGGACGACGCAGGATTTGAAGTTCTCACAAAGGAGGTTGCGAAGACACCTGTCTTCTGGGATATAACGCCGCGTAGTCCGCTGAAAGTCAACCGATGTTTCGGAAGAACATCGCCTCCATCTTCAAGGTTGAAGAATAAGTGAAACAAGAAACCAATATGAAGCAGGTAGGTTTCAACTGGTTTCTCTCTTGACTTTTTCTTCGATTCTGAAAATGGAGACAGTTTTCTCCATGTTCAACGGGCTATCAACCGCCTCTGTGGTCTAGTGGTCAGCGTTCCTGGCCACAGATCCAGAAGTCCCGGGTTCGATTCTCGGCGCTACCAGATTTGCTGAGAAGTAGTGCGTCGGGAACGGGGTCCACTCAGCCTCGTGATGATAATTGAGGAGCTATTTCATGGAAATAGCGGTTCCTGTCTAGAAAACCGAAATTAACGGCCGTGGGAATTCGTTGCGCTAACCACGCGACACCATCTATCCGCAAAAGTTGGCACTAAACTTCGACGACAAGCGGCGGTCGCTCGGTCGGTATAGTTCGCTTGCGGACTAAAATCACAGAGTTTTTGTTTTGTTCTGTTCAACGGACTATACGGCGTTATATCGCAGAAAAGCGGCCTCCGTAGTCTAGGGGTAACGTCCCCACCTCATGACTCAAGGTACGCGGGTTCAAACCCGGCGGAGGTCGTGGAATTTTTAAGGGCGGAAAAATTCAGGGAACAAGTCCTCCGGGAGGGACTTTAAGCCGTGTGTCCCGTGTCGTAGATCCACATGTCTCTAGGAGTTTCCCGTAGTATGGGGAAGTATCGGGGACCACTACCAGAGAGGGCCGACCTCGCTGGCAGAACGGGGCTGATAGCGAGCACCAGTAGTGGAAGGGCATGGGGATTAGTTAGAATAATTAAAGGGGGACGCACAATAGATCAACAAATGGTCGCAGTGCATGGGGAAACCCACCCCCTCCGAATAATAATAATAATAACAATAATAATAATATATCGCAGAAGAAAGAAGTCTTCTGAGATTTTACTGTCGGTGGATCCACCTACCGGCAGAAGTAGGACTGCCTGCAATTAGCACGTGCATTGGTCTCAAGAGCACGCTGTATTCCTGTCATCATTAAAATTTTATTGCAAAGAGAGACCAGCAGAAACTTCATGGTTAATGCGCTTCATTGCATTGCCAGGGCAGTGCAATGAAGCAAGTCATAACGGAATGGACACACGTGTATTACAGTTCGAACAGAATAAACAAAACACATGAACAGGAAGACTTGGGCTAGAAAACCTGAGTCGAAATCTGTTCTTACTCATATATTCCTTCGACATTATGAATTCATAAAAATTTTAAACATCGAGAAGCGAGGATAATATTAAAACGAATATTACGTAAATCAGTTGTGAGGATGTGGACTGAACCGATTTCGATCTGAATCATGTACAATGCCAAGACACGGTATTGGCAATGCGGAACCTTTGAGTTTTGTACTCTTCAACATATATTATTGGGGTCCTCATATTAAAGAGAATAAGATGTACAGGGTGTGTAGCATGAAGGGAGTGATGAGAACTAAATCCGAAAGCCTAAATGTAAAAGATTACTTGGACATAGATGGCAGGATAATACTAAAAGGGGTCTTAAAGTAAAAGAGTCTGGAGATATAGACTACATTCACCTGACTCTGGATAGAGACCAGCGGTGGTCGTCCAGCCCGTAAACAGTCGCTATACCGACTACGCCATCCCGGCTCCCTAACCTATTATACGAGTATTTACAAATGTGAAACAAGCAGTACCTCACCTGCGGAGAAATGAACTGCGGGCCGTTCATCTACTAGCCTGTCTATTTCCCGACTGATCTCTGAAGCTATTACACTCACCTTGTAACATGACTAATTGCAAACA